TGAAGAGCTGAGGGACAGCGCCCAGGCCCAGAGTTCAGGCCCCACGACCGGACCCCCCCCCCAAAAAAAAACTTGTAATTCCTCTGTCCAATCACAAATGGATTTAGCATTGTATGTGTGTGTGTGTGTGCATGCGCACACGTGCACACGTGCACCAGTTCTAGGGCTTGAATTCAGGGCCCGAGCACTCTCTTGAGCTTTCGTGGTCAAGGCTAGCGCTCTACCACTTGAGCCATAGCTCCACTTCTGCCTTTTCTTGGTGGTTTATCAGAGATAAGAGTCCCATGGACTCTCCTGCCCGGGCAGGCTTTGAACCCTTATCCTCAGATCTCAGCTGCCTGAGTAGTTAGGATTACAGGCGTGAGCCACCGGTGCCTGGCTTTGTATCATTTTTTTCATCTGTCTTTCCCTTGGGAAAAAACCAAACCTTTTCTGTTAGGCATTCATTTGTGAGTCTAGCTCAGCCTCTTCTGGGATCCTTTTAAACAAAGCACTCAGGTAATGTTTCTGTGCTTTGCACAGTGTTATCCACTCACCTGTCTGTCCTAGAGCTCCTGCACACCCACTGCATGGTAATCAGGGGCCACTCACCCAGTTCCCCGGAAGAAATCCCCCAGAGGGGTGACCACGTGCCTGAGGGCTTCTCTGACTTGAAGTGCGCACCACCCCTGAGATTTTTATTTTTTGTTTTTGTTTTTGTTTTTTTTTTGCTTATGTGGTGCTGAGGAATCGAACCCAGGGCCTCATGCATTGCAAGGCAAGCACTCTACCACTGAGCCACCTTCCCAGCCCCCCTGAGATTTTTAATGGAGCGCAAAAGCCCAGCATTAGCTGAGTCAGATGGGAAGCAAGAAGCTGCCTTCATCCGTGACCTCATCGTGGGCTCAGGGGACATCACGACCTCTCACTGATGATAACCTGGAGCCCGGGCACTGACCTCCTCCTCTTCTCTCTCTAGTGATGACCCCCCAACACCAGCCGCCAATGGTGCCCGGTGCCCTGGGCCAGCAGAACCCCTCCGCGGGGCTGGTGCCCGTGCCCCCCGCGCTGACCACCCAGCAGCAGCAGCAGCAAAAGCTGCGGCTCCAGAGGATCCAGATGGAGAGGGAGAGGATTCGGATGCGGCAGGAGGAGCTCATGCGGCAGGTACGGCGGGCAGCAGTCACGGCTGGGCGGACGGCTTGGCTGGGCAGCAGGCCCTGCGGGGCCCTCGGCCTCCCTGAGAGCCTCACCTGTGTGCACAGCAGCTATGTGGCTCCACCCACGAGTGGGTCTCACAGTGTGTCAGTGTATGCAGTGTGTGCGCATGTCCAAGCACAGGCAGGAGAGAGTGGGGAGAAAGAACAGGTTCCATGCTGTGTGGCCACAAATGATCCCAGACGTAGTGGCGCTGGTTCTACCGAACAACTTCCAGAGCCAGGGATTAGGAGAGGGCTCAGCTGGACCGCCCTTCCTCCCTGCTGGTTGACTGTGGGAGTGTGTTGGGTGGAGGCCCGCCATGGAGGCCTGAGGTGAACAGACCACTGGGGCCCTGTGTGTCTGCAGAGAGGGTGTGGGCGGAGAGTCGCAGTGAGGCCTAGCCCCCCACACCGTCCAGGAGCCGTGTCCACCCCCACCCCCATCCTAGGGTGAAAGATGGCGGAATCTCTCACGGAAATGGTGTCAGCCACCTCCTCTGCTCCTGTGTAGATGACAGAGAAGGGAATGTGGAGGGGGTGGGGAGGAAGGGACTTGGATAAGGACGCAGGACTGCGCCGTTGGGCATTCTTGGGTAAAATAATAAACCAGGTAAGTAGACAGATAAAGTAGAGTCTTGCCGTGTAGCCAGGCTGGTCTGGCCCTCCTGCCTCAGCTCCCAAGTCCTGGGATTACAGGAGTGCCTTGCCACACCTGGCTGGGCCGTTCACTAGGCAGACAGACGCTGCCCAGGGGCCTCATTCCAGGAGTGAATGAGAGGAGCCAGGCCTGGTGGTGCACGCCTTCCGTCTCAGCAGCCTGGGGCCACGGCAGAGCTGAGAGCTGGAGTCCAGCACCGCGCCTCACTGGCGGCTGGGTCTGCGGAGGGGCGGAATCCTGCCTTCCCTGTGGCATGCGTGCTTGCAGGTCTGCACCTTCTCCAGCTACATTTTGGGGAGAAAAGTTTTGGTTTGTTCTATCATTGTTTCGACTTAGCCTTGTAAAGCCAGATGTGTGGACTGTTAGCGGCTCCTACGTGGCTTTCTCAGGAGAGGACTGCTAGGCGTCGGATGCAGAGGCTGAGTGTGTGTGTCTGTGTGAGTGTGCGTGTGTGTGTGGGGGGGGCACCGCTCATCGCAGGCCCCGGGCTGCATCCCCAGCACAGGAAGAAGTCGTTTCTTAGAGACCGTCTTTGGAAGTAAGAGGAGAAGGCCTGAGTGGTGCTGGCCGCGTGTCTTGAGCGGGCCTGCCCAGGTGGGCACAGCTGGGCCCTCCCCCGGAGCTTAGGCTCGGGCCTGCACAGTTATTTTAGGGTAACAGTTGCCCGTGCTGCTTTTAGATGCCGTGATCATGTTTCTTGGCAGGAAGCAATTGTGTTATTGTTGTCTGTTTTGGATAGCATTTCCACCTGGACTGATGTCTCTGTCTTGTGAGTGGTGTGCATTGTAGGCAGGGTTACGGTGGCCTTGAGGTTTGCTTGGTTTTGTATCTCAGTGAGCGTTGGTGAGTGTGTGTGGCCCCTGTATTTCTCCTCCTCCCACCCCTGCTTCCTGCAGGGAGCATGGGGCACGCGTCCCGGCCACTTTTGAGCTGTAGGTGCTATGGATGGTTTGTAGGACAGAAATGACAAGAGTTCGCCTCTGGGCCATCCTGGGGTCTGTGGGATAGGGTGTCTTGTGCAGCATGGCCCCAGTCCAACACAGAGCAGGGAAAAGGCTGTCCACATCCACTCAAGGCTGTGCTGGTGTGCGTGTGTGCCTGTGCATGTGCGTGCATGTGTGTGTGTGCATGTGCGTGAGTGTGTGTGTGTGTGCGCACGCACAGCGTGGTCCCAGTCCCACACCGCAGAGCAGGGGAAAGGCTGTCCACATCCACTCAAGGCTGTGCACGTGTGTGTGCACCTGTGCGTGAGTGTGTGTGCATGTGTGTGCATGACTGTGTGTGCCTGTGCGTATGTGAGTGTGTATATGCGTGTGTGCATGTGTGTGTGCATGTGTGTATGTGCGCGTGCACGTGCATGTGTGTGCATGTGTGTGCATGTATGTGCATGTGCGCGTGTGCACGCATGTGTGTGCATGTGCATGTGAGTGTGTGTGTATGTGTGTGTGCATGTGCATGTGTGCGCATGTGCGTGAGTGTGTGTGCATGTGCATGTGTGTGTGCATGTGCGTGTGTGTGTGCGCGCGCGCACAGCGTGGTCCCAGTCCCACACTGCAGAGCAGGGAAAAGGTTGTCCACATCCACTCAAGGCTGTGCTGGTGTGCGTGTGCCTGTGCGTCTGTGTGTGTGCGCGCGCACACACACACACAGCATGGTTCCAGTCCCACACCACAGAGCGGGGAAAAGGCTGTCCACATTCACTCAAGGCTGTGCACGTGTGCCTGTGTGCATGAGTGTGTGTGCGTGTGTGTGTGTGCGCAGCATGGCCCCAGTCCCACACCACAGAGCGGGGGAAAGGCTGTCCACGTCTACTGCACTGGTGTGTGTGTGCATGTGCACGTGTGCAGTGTGGTCCCAGGCCCCACACTGCAGAGAAGAGGGGAAGGCTATCTGTCCACCCAAGGCTGTGCTGCTTTGTGTGTGTGTGCAGCATGTGTGTTCACAGTGGCCTGCACAAGTGTGTGCACACATGCATGCGCATAGAAAAGGCTGTCTAAGGCTACTGCGGCTTGTGTGTATGCGGCGTGTATACACAGTGGCTTGCACAAGTATGTGTGCACATGCACATAGGGTCTCCGTGTCTGCCCAAGGGAGCCGCTGCGTGTGTGTGTGTGTGTGTGTGTGTGTGCGCACAGTGGCTTGTACAGATTGTGCATGCGTACATCTGCACGCACATGCACTCATGAGTATACGTGTGTGTCCGAGCGCACACGTGTGCGTGCACAGGAGGGTGTGTGCGTTGCAGCGTGCACACATGTGAGTGTGTGCGGTTTGGAGGGGAGGCGTGGCTGGTGTTATTTCTGCTGCTGGTGTCCAGGAGGCGAGGTCTGTGGACTGGTCTGGAGGACGCGTGTGTCGGTTCACGGAAGTAGAAAGCTGCTGGGGAGGGTGGTGTGGGGGGACCGGGGCCAGGAAGATGCCGCCTCATGGACTTCCGGCTGGTGACCACGACGAGGGCTTGGCTCCTCCCAGGCCTTCCCCGGGGTCTGCACTGTGCAGAGACCCCTAGTCATCGCCCATGTTTGCTCCATCCTTAATGAAGGCTGGGGGCCTGAAGAATGCAGAGCAGACAAGCGCACTGACTGAGCCTGGCCTCCGTGGCCAGACGGCAGGGCCAGGAGGGCAGGGCTGGACGTCCTGGCAGCCCGCGCTCTCCCTCCCTCACCCGCCCCTCGAGTCTGGGACGGGCGGGCCAGCTGGCGCCCTGTGCCGTCCTGAGCCCACAGAGGCACGCCCGCGGCGGGCCCCGCCGTACTGACAAGCTTTGGAGGGAGCTGGCGCAGGCGGAGGTGATGGCCTGTTCCGTGTCCTTCGTGGCTCCACGGCCGGGAACGCATTTCCCTTGTGTGGTGTTTGGGGTGACTGGTGGACACGGCCTTGTGTGGTGTTTGGGGTGACTGGTGGACACGGCCTTGTTGGTGTGCGCTGTAAATCGAGTGCTGCCACGCTCCCACCCCTCTGCGGGCTTTTGCGGGGAGCCAGGGAGCACAAGAACAATGGATGAGGCTTTTTGAAGACAAATGTCTGGCGTGGGTATTCTGCCTGTGTTATAGGGTGCTCACCAGCTGTAACGTGGACCCTAAAGGCTGCCGGCCACAGTGCCAGTGGTGTCTGAGCGCACGGGCCAAGTGACCCTGCTGGTCCAGGGGCGTCGGGCTGGCTTGGCTGGCTTTGGATGGGGCTGAGAACCTGGGCAGGAGGGGCCTTGGATCTGAGCGGCACAGGCCTTGTACGAGGTGGGACAGCGCTGGGCCTGTGCCTTGGCCGGCGCGCGCCCTGTGGGGGTAGGCAGTGCCCGGGGCTTCCTCGAGCATCGCCCACCGCAGTGGCTTCCTGGAAATAAATAGGAAGTGCCTTGTATCCCGGAAGGCTCTGGCAGAGGGCTGTGTGCCAGGCCGGATGGTGACGCTGACTCTTCCTCTCCCTCTGCCTCTTCCTGGGCAGGAAGCAGCCCTCTGCAGACAGCTCCCGGTGGAGGCTGAGCCCATGGTGGCTGCACAGGCCGTCAACCCGCCCGCCATGACCGCAGACCTGAGGTCCATCAGCAGCAGCAACGCCGACCCTTTCCTCAGCAGGTAAGCCGGTGTCTCGCAGGGGCCCGCGTTCTGCTCTCCACATTCTGCAGTTAGACTGTGACTGTGTCTTTGTGACACTGGAAAAAGGGAGGGATTTGAGACGAGGGGAAAAGTCAGAGAGAAAGTTGGGGGATTTGGCAGAAGGAGAAACAGAAAAGCAGAGGTACTAATCTATCCTTTAAAAGCGTCCTTAGATTCAGATGTCAGGAGGCTGGGCATGGTGGCGCGCTCTGTGGGAGGCCTGCCCGAGCCTCCCAGACGCCGGTTACCAGCCTGCCGCCCTGCGCCTGACTGCAGGCCCTCTTACTCCCCATCCTGTGTGTCCATAGAGACTCAGCGTTATTTTCTGTTCTTTTTTTTTTTTTTTTTTTTTACTTAAAAAGTTAAAAAAAACCCGAAGCTGGCGGCCTGCCCTGCAGGCTCCGGTGTAGAGGTTATTTGCGTTGGACAGGAGATCAGTGCCCACTGCTGGGAGTGGCAGTTCTGTCAGTGGTCAGCGGACAAGGGTGTGTTTCAGATTGAAAGGGAGGAAGAGGTTTCCTGGCTTCCCCGCCTGGACGTGTGACTTTGGTAATGACTGACTGACTGACGGACTGACGGACGTCCTGCCCTTCCCCCGCAGCGGGCCCTACCACTCTCGGGAGCAGAGCACGGACAGCGGCCTGGGGCTGGGGTGCTACAGCTTGCCCACCACGCCCGAGGACTTCCTGAGCAACGTGGACGAGATGGACACAGGTGAGGCCCGGCCTGCGGCCGCGACCCGCCCTCCTCCACACAGCGCCAGTGCTCACCCACTTTAACCCACAGGGGCGCTCCGCAGAGCTCCTGCAAACACCCTCTCTATAGGGATGGGGTTTGAGCGTTTGCTCAGTACAGGAGGCGGGAGGAGAAAGAAGGAGGAAGAGGAGGAGAGAGGAGGAAGAAGAGGAGGGAGGAGGAAGAGGAAGAAGGAGGAGGAGGAGGAGGAGGGGCAGGAACCGCCACGCCTGCTGTGGGTTGAGTTGAAGGCTTTCACTGCTGTGTCTGGGCCTCCAGCTGCAGGCCCTGGGCCTCAGCCTCCCAGACAGCCAGGCTCGCGGTCTTGGCGCCCACGCTCAGTGGGAGCAGCAGTGGCGTGGGGTCAGAGCCATGGAGCCTTCGCATGCCCCTGGCTCCCTTCTCCACGCTGTGTTCAGGACCCGGTTGACCCCGACAGTCGTGGACGGGGGCCCGGGCTCCCGGGGCCCTGGCAGGGGACTGAGGCTCTCCTGCTCTGTTCCAGGGGAGGGCGCAGGCCAGGTGCCCATGAGCGCCGCGCCCCAGCAGAGCCGCTTCCCCGACTTCCTTGACTGCCTGCCGGGGACCAACGTGGACCTGGGGACTCTGGAATCTGAAGACCTGCTTCCTCTCTTCACCGATGTGGAGTCCGCCCTGAGCAAGAGCGAGCCCTTTCTGACCTGGCTGTGAGCCCCTGTGGGCTGGGGGCTGGCCCGGCCCTTTGGGGAGCAGAGCTGGTCTGTGGCGCCCACCGCTGCCCTGTTCCCCAGGGCCGGGCTCCCGGGGTCTGGGTCCGGCTGACCCCCTCTTCAGTGAAGCATAGGTCAGGCCTGCAGCCCCTGGACAAGGCCCAGCCCTTCTCCAGCCCAGCCTCGCTGTGGGGCAGCGGAGCGACACACGTCCATTATGATGGATTGCAAACCATAAGAATTGACCGCAGGCAGTGAATTGGGCCTACGGCTCGGTGCGGATGGCTTGCCCAGCCCGGACTTCACCGACGGTTCCCAGAGCCATGGCACAGGAGAGCGCGCACTTCCCTGAACCACGCCGTCCAGCGCCAGCCTCACAAATCACGGCCCTGCAGGGAAACCCTGCCACGCGGAGCCTGCCTGGAGCATGCGCTGGCTCTGCCGCACTCCCTGCGTGCGCCACAGCCTGCGTGCGCCACAGCCTGCGTGCTGCACCCGCGCCGCGCCCGCGCTGCGCCCCTCCTGCCCGGCCCCCTGCGCACCGGCCCCCCAGGGGCTCCCAGCAGCCCGACCTCCTCTGTAAACTGCAACTTGGATTTCTCTCCCTTCCACGCACGGCTTAGCGTTTGATGACACTTCTGTAAGAACTCTGTAATTCTGTATTGGAAGACAAAGGGCTGCCGCAAGGGTTCTACAACATCAGCACCACCTGTAATTCTGTCTTGGAAACTTCCAGATAGGCCAGGGCCATGCCGAGCCCCAGCGGGCGCCTGGCCTACGGCCGGCCGGTGACGGGGGTCAGCACCACCTGTAATTCTGTCTTGGAAACTTCCAGATAGGCCAGGGCTGTGCTGAGCCCCAGTGGGCGCCTGGCCTACGGCCGGCCGGTGACGGTTCACCCCTGAAGCTGTGGGGGCTCCCCGTGCTCACACTGTCCGAGGGCAGGCATCTTACCTGGCCTGGCAGTACAGCGCATGTGCAAGTGTGTGCGAGTGTGTGCAGGCACGTGCTGGCAGAGCCTTCCCGCGCTGACACAGGCGTCCTGGGCGGAGGGTGCGTGGCACTGCCTGCCGCCTGCGGTGGCACCCGCCCCGTGGCGGGTCCTGTGCTCTGTGGGAGGGATCTGTGTCGGAGTGACGGGTCCTGTGCTCTGTGGGAGGGTGCCTGGCACCGGCCTGCAGTGGCGTCCGCCCCTTGGGTGCCCAGTGACGGGTCCTGTGCTCTGCGAGTGGGATCTGTGTCGGGAGGGCCTTAGGGACCCGGGCCTCAGAAGCCTGGGCAGCCACGCATGGCCCCCACCCCACCTGCACTAACGGCGGCGGGCGTTCGGAGTGGTTCGGACAGTGGCAAGTGTAGGTCAGAGGTGGCGAAGGAAAGCTGAGCAGAGACTGGGAGAGGGGTAGTGACAGGGAAGGGGACAGGCAGAGCCCCAAAAGCCAGACGCAGCAGAGGTGGGCGTGAGAGCAGGCGGCCCGCGTCCACGGCTCAGGCGGGTGGGGGGAGGCGAGGGGGAGCGAGGGACTCACCTTTTCCTGAGGACCCCCCCAGGACCCCCAAACTCCTCTGACTCTCTCGAAGCACCCGTGAGCGTTCACGCGGCTGCTCCGATGAAAGGGAGCACTTGTTCTTTTAGTTTCTTTCCTTAGCAGAAATTGCAGCTGCGTGTACACTCGTTCGAAGGAGAGAGGGAAGCCAAGGGACCTAACCAAACTCAGCAGTGTTACTGTATTTTTTTAAAAAATATTTTTATAGGCTCATTTTCAGGTTATCAAATGTATAAGAAAGATGCCCTTCTTTTTTTTTTTTAGTTAAAATCATTGATGACTTATATCACGTTTTAGAAGTACTTTTTTAATAAGCTTGTGGCATTAGAAAGATACTAGAATAATTTTTTAGTGAATTAGTTGGAACATTTATTAATGGATATGATATTTTTGCAGAACAAATTGTGGACCTGACTGTTTACTAATAGATAAAAGCCAGATATAATTTTTGTTGTTTTTAAAGCCATAAAATATGGCCTTTGTTAAAAGAACGTGTGAGCTAAAGCATGGTAAAGAGCCACGTTTGTGTGTGCAAGGCTAGGGCGAGCAAAGCCGGGCTGGAGCCGAGCCCACCGCTGCGCACGCCCCAGGCCCAGGCTCGGCGTGGACGGCGGCTGCCGAGTGCTGGCCACCTGCACGAGTCCTGCCAAGGTGCTGTTCATACTCGTTTCTTATGACGGGACAGCCATATGAGATGTAGTCTTGTTCTCATAGTCCTAATCAATCAATCCATAAACTTCACAGTCTCACACCAGAAAACTTTCGCCATAGAAAAAGCTTACTGAGAAGGTGAAATTGAAAAAAAATACTAGTGTCAGAGACTTTTTTTTAAGGCTTTTTGTTTCCTTTGATAGAAGCCATTTTCTGGAAGCAAATAAATGGTCAAACCCCGTTTGTAAGTCTGTTAAATTGGAGGTTGTGCGTGGCCTGGCTGGCGCCGGGGCGCTGGCTTCACTGCGCGTGGAGCAGTCGTAGCTCCCGCGCCCGTGTGCAGAAAGCTGTCGGCAGACGGTGGCTGGGAGGGGAGACGCAGCCAGCCTCCGGCACACCTAGAACTTTCAGGAAAAACCCAAGAACGGGTGGTCGACAGTCTCCCTCAGGTGACATTACTTATGGGATAGAACTTTCCAGAAAACCTGCTTCGACACTGGGCAGTCACAGGTGTGTTTACTTGAAATCCCGAGTGCCGGGCCTGCCCAGGGCAGGGCAGCCGTGTTGCCTGGCGTCTGGGCGGGTGTGACTTTTCCGATTCTGTACAAGAAAATAAATGCAATTGGGTTTCCCTGAGCCTTGTGGCCTGTCTGTGCTCTCGTCCTGAGGGTTTGGGGTGACTGCAGGCCGCCGCCCCGTGCACCCCAGGCTCTGCACCCCTCCATTCGGAGAAGCCACCGAGAGGCGCCTTCTCCGAAAACCTCACACATCTGAGGAGAGGTGGGGCCCGGCCTGCCTCTTCAGCTCCCGCCATTGATGGCACCTTCATGACACCCTCATTCTCCAGAGAGTGTGTTCTCCCTCTCTCCCTCTTCCCTCCCTGCCTCCCTTCCCTCCTCTCCCACCCTCCTCCCTCCTTTCCCCCTTTTCTCCTTCAGTCCTTTCTGGACTGCAGTATCTGTGGGATCTGCAGCTCTCCAATGGAGAAAGATAACTGTAACCATTGTTGTAGTGTCCTCGGGGTATCTGGCTTTACCTGCATCTTCCGTTGATTTTGGGGGAGGTCAAGGAGCCCTCAACACAGCCCCTCTGGCTGAGAGAGCAGGTCCAGTAGGGCTTGGTGTGGAAGCTGCCTCGGTACCTTCCTCCACCGCCCCGGGTCCCGGCCAGCGGCGGCCGGGGTGGATGTGTGCGGAAGCTGGCTGCTGTGTCGCGGGTCTGCCCGGACCCTTGTCTCACCAGTGAGGATTAGAAAACCACTTCTCTGGGACCCCAGAGCCAGTGTGTGGAGCTATGAACCCAAATCAACCTTCTTTTTTCTTGCCAGACAGAGGTTGAACTCAGGCCTGGGCACTGTTCCTGAGCTTTTTGCTCAAGGCTATTGCTCTATCACTTGAACCATGGCTCTACTTCCAGCTCGTGGACTTTCCTGCCTGGGCTGGCTTCATACTGCAATCCTTGGATCTCAGCCTGCTGAATGGCTAGGGTCACAGTGCCCAGCCAGCCAAATGGTTTGGCCTCATGTTGATGTCTGGCTCACAAAGCCAAATATGGCTAACGTGTGGAACCAAATGCGCCGTGCCTTAGCTCTGAGAAGAAGGCTGCAGAATTATGTTCCCAGTCAACTCTTAACTGGTGAAAGGAGCCGTCTGCCCCCACCCAGGTCTGGCTGGTTTATTCAGTCTCCTCTCCTCCTCCACACGCAGACTGCGTGGACTCACTCACCTGCGGGCTCAGATTCTCATTTACTGTGGGCAAGGGAGCCCTAGCGAGTTCAAAACACTGCTCACAAGAACTCCGTCAGCTCAAAAGATGTCACATAGAAAGTATTTATGATACACCCACCAATTTCCTCTTTCCCCAGAAACCCGGAGCAAGCCGGCTTCTCATTTAACATGCTCTGTGTAAAGGAGCAGGGGACTGCGAAGGTGAGTTCACACATTTCGCACTTTCGGGAGGGAAATACATCAAGAAACACAGGCTTTCAACCTACTAGATTCTAGGAGGGGGTCGTTTGAGGGTCACATAACCAAGTTCAAGTCACTGAGTGGTTCAATGAGCTGCTATCTTCAGCCAGGCGGTTTGGGAACGAGGAGCCCCCGGCTTTGCCAGTGAGGAGACGGCCAGGGCTGGAGGCCGAGAGCGGGGACGTCGGGTCTGTCTGTCCTTCATCCTTCCCGCGCTGGGTGTCCGGGCCAGCAGCTCGCCCGGGTTACACTGGTCCTTCACCCTGGAGTCCAGGAAGGCGAGTTCAGTTTGGGGGCTCTGCTCCTCCCTCCCCGCCCAGCGCGCCCACACTGCTGCCTGTGCAGCCGTTTCCAGACCAGGCTGTTCTGGGTCTTTCACTGGTGACTCACCTGGGCTTCGGCTATTTTGTGTTGCCTATTTTGTTATTAAACATAACTTTGGTGAGTGACACAGAGAACTGCTCTGTTGGAAGCCAGAATGAATAACAGATGGAGGCGGGATTGGACCCTTTGATGGAGGCCTCCCGGGCTGAGCTTCTAGGCCCAGGGAGGATGCCTGGCTGCCGGCCTGTGGTACCCTCATCCCAGTCCGGGACCGCCGTGGGTGGCCACCCGGACTCCCCCTGGCCTGGACAGGCCCCCCCGTGCCCCTGAGTGCAGAGCGGGCCCTCGCCCCAGCCCGGGCCCTCACCCCGCAGCAGCCGCAGCACTGGCAGTCTCCGCAGAGTGTGCCCAGCAGGCCGTTGACCACCTGGATGGCACACAGCACAATCTGCACCCCCCCGATGACCAGCAGGATGGAGAACAGGGTCAGGTTCCAGGGTACGATGTCAGGAGGCTCCAGGCACTTTGTCCACAAGGCCTGGTTACTGAGGTAGTTTCTGGAGTAAGCAGAAGGGAGAGGAGGTGTCTGTGAAAGTCAGACACTTCCATAACTTGCTGTTTATTTTTGTGCCAGGCCTGGGCTTTAGCTCAGCCTGGACATTGCCCCTGAGCTTTATTACCCAAAGCGAGCGCTCTACCACTTGAGCCACAGTGCCACTTCCAGCTTTTTGGTGGTTCATTGGAGATGAGTCTCTTGGACTTTCCTGCCTGGGCTGGCTTTGAACTGTGGTCCTCAGATCTCAGCCTGAGTAGCTGGGATGGCAGTGTGAGCCGAGGCACCAGGCTGAGCCTGGGATTGGGGTCAGTGGAAGCTACATTTGGACTCAAGCCCCCTCCCAGCAGGTGAATTCCTGTGCAGCCCCGCGCTCTCCTGAGCTCACATTGTCACCTGTAAAGAGACAGAACCTTCCAGAGTCAGGATACACAGATCATTGACCGCACAGTGCTTTTGCTTTGCATCAGACCTTTGTCTTCCTGTGTGGCGATGTATCTGTAGCTCTGCCTATAACATTTAAGCCCGGTGACCTTAAAAGGTGACAGCAACCCCAGATTTTCCCATTATCTGAAGACAAGCATGGAGGCCTGGGTGCAGCAAATGCGTGGGGCAGCAGCACCACCTGGTGGTCAAAATGGAGAAGTGCAGGGATGGAGGCCCGGATGCAGCAAATGCGTGGGGCAGCAGCACCACCTGGTGGTCAAAATGGAGAAGTGCAGGGATGGAGGCCCGGATGCAGCAAATGCATGGGGCAGCAGCACCACCTGGTGGTCAAAATGGAGAAGTGCAGGGATGGAGGCCTGGATGCAGCAAATGCGTGGGGCAGCAGCACCACCTGGTGGTCAAAATGGAGAAGTGCAGGGATGGAGGCCTAAATGCAG